GGGTTTTCACATAACTTTAAGATCCTTCAACAAACTCCGGGATAAGAAAGCTCAGCTGATCGAGTCTCTCACCTTCCTGAAGAGATGCCGCGACTCTGGGGTAATACCAATCGCATTTACACTCACCTCTGCTACTGTAACTTCTTCTAATGTGAAACGAATTCTTTTCAAAACTAGCTTAGCTCTTATCTCAGAAAAAATCAGACTTATACGCACAGAACTAGATCAGTTAGATAAGACACTCTACAAATCACACTTATCATTGACGGCAATAATGTCCACATCGGATTGGGAACATGTAGACAATATGACTGCCTCTTCAGCTGCTACTATGTCGACCAAATGTAAGGAAAACCTGATTTCCAAATTTAACCTCCTCTTCAACAAAAGACCGGACCCACACACCAAAAAGTTAGACGTTAATAAAGTCGTAATTAATCGCAGTAACAGTTCTATTTCCGATGGTCTGAAATCCGTTTTAGCTAAAGGTCTAAACTTTGCAGTCACACCTAAACACATACCAGTTAATGATATAATTGCCCAAGTAGACGTTGCTCTCAGGGGCCTGGGTCACATCGCTGCAGACGTAGCAAGATCTGAAATCGCTGCAACCCTCAAAAACGCTAAGATGCCAGCTAGCAACCTCAGCAAAGATGAGCGTTTTGAATTATATAAATTAAAAAAGAGGAATGATATTGTAGTTCTCTCAGCTGACAAAGGCAATGCTACTGTCATCATGGATAAAATAGAATACAACAACAAAATTAAAGAATTACTAGACGATGGTAGTTATACAAAAATAAAAAGAGATCCCACCAACAGCCTCGTCACACAAACCAACAAAATAATTTCTGATTCAACCGCATTAATTGATCAATCTAAACAGTTTTCGTTGAAACCTTCTGCTGCCAGGCCACCAAGATTATACGGCTTACCAAAAATACATAAAGTTGATACACCTCTTCGTCCCATAGTCTCTACTATCAGCTCCCCCACCTACAAACTAGCTCGTTTTTTGTCTGAAATCCTGCGTCCTTTCACTGGAAAGACCACCTCTGCGGTACAAAATTCTACTCACCTGGTATCAACAATCAAGGGTATTTCCCTGTCCCCAGACGACCTGCTTGTCAGTTTTGATGTAGTTTCCTTATTCACCAAGGTTCCTGTACCTGACACCATTGCAATCATTGAAGACTTGGTTCATCAAGGACTAAACACTGAGGTACCCCCCCTGGTGAGACACTGTTTAACCAATACATACTTCACTTGGAATGGAACTTTCTACAAACAAACTGAGGGCACCCCAATGGGCTCCCCCCTTTCTCCAGTTATAGCTAACATTTTCATGGAGAAATTTGAGACTGACGCCATCCAGACTGCCACTCTGCGCCCAACCTTATGGAAGAGGTACGTGGATGACACTTTTATCATCTGGCCACATGGCCGGCCTGCTCTAGACCAATTCTTCGACCACATCAATTCCATACACCCAGCCATCAGATTTACCATGGAAGTCGAAATAGATGGCAAGATACCTTTTTTGGATGTCCTAATTAAAAAGAGACCTGATGGTTCAATGAGCCACTCTGTCTACAGGAAAGCTACCCATACGGATGCTTATCTGAAACCGGATTCCCACCACCATCCATCACAGAAGAATTCTCTCATCAAGACTCTGTATCATAGAGCCCAATGCATATCCGACCAGGAACACATAAGCAGTGAACTCAAGCACGTACACCAAGCTCTTAGGGCTAATGGTTACTCCGACTATACAATCCGCAAAGCTATCACTCAAACCATGAAGAAGAACCCTCTTGAGGAGCCTTTCAAAACCATCACTTTACCCTACATTGCTGGGATCACAAAAAATATCTCCAAAATCTTGAATAAACACAAGATCCAGGTCCGTTTCAACACATTACATAAAATCCGTGATCTGGTTCCGTCTGTAAAAGATGTGATTCCGGACATACAATACCCTGGTGTCTACAAACTAAGTTGCCTCTGTGGTAGTAGTTACATTGGAGAAACCAAACGCCATATCTCGGACCGCATTCGTGAACATAAAGCAGACCTTAAACACGGTAGGACCAACACCTCGGCCGTAGCAGATCATTGTTCTAATTCAGTAGGCTCACATGCCATTGACTTTTCCAAGACGGAGGTTCTTTGTAAGCCATCTGGCTTCCATGAGAGATTCGTTCATGAGGCTATCCACATATACAAGCACAGAGACAATTTCAACCGAGAAGATGGATTCTATCTTAGCAATCATTGGAAAGATTTGATAAATCATTTCAGTTCTTGATTGATTGTTCACGCTTACAGTGGCTTTCAGACAGCATACATAAAAACAAATTTCGTCTCCCCCCTCCTCTTTTCAAAAAATAGATGGACTAGTCCTGGGCAAACTGCCAATCGCTGCGCGTGACGCAAACGTTATTTTTTTTATATAAATAAATAAATATGCCGTTTTCAAAATAAATTTATGCAAACCGACACACCTGATGATGACCGTTTGAGTTATGGTCGAAACGTCGTGAGAATTTTTTATTGTTTTATATATATTTTGTTATTTTGTTGTTTCTCTTCAACGTGACTTTACCGAAAAAACTAAGAATATGAACAACCAGCTTAATCGGGCGATTAATATTTACGTGATTTAACCCCAAAAAACCACGTTTATTAATAATTTTCATTAATGCAACAGGATTTGTATGATGAGCCAAATAATGCTGGCAGATCTACAGGATGGCCCAATAGTTAATTTCCCGAAATATAAATACGGAATTAATTTCTCACTAAACTAATTTAGACCACCTTGTACAATAATGTTCATTATTTACCAAAGAAATCCTGAGTCTCAAAACTCCTCTTAAGGAGGGTCCCGCTGCATGAGGATGTTTTGGCGATGTTAATTTTTTCACGAATGAGAGTTTGGGATTCATGTGAGAGGACACCAGGGAACTCTACAGGCTGTGATCAGGAGCCAGAAACACACACCTGCCTGGTTCGGAAGGTGTTCTGCAAAATGTTTTAAAGGGATGATTGAATGATATAACAAAATCAATGATTTACAGGGCCAGATTAAGGTTCTTGTAGGCCCTGGGCACTTCTGTTTCGTAGGCCTTCAGTGACAACTTTCTACAGTTGCTACTGCTGCTGCCCCATGTTACTGCTACCGCCGCTGTCACTCCGCTTGTTTCTCACGGTACTTCGTCCAGGTGCTGTACAGACGTCATTACTGATACACGTATTATTTAGGATGTGCCCTAAATTGATGGGAGCGTGCTGCGCGCCACAGATAACATTGACGTGACGTTGCCTCTTTGTACACTGTGCCTATCCTTGCTATACAAATATATTTATTCAAGAAGATATCCTGGTTACATTTTATTTTTTATCATACATACAAACAAAAAACGTGGTAAAAATGTGTCTTCGTAAGCCCTTTAGTTTTTGTAGGCCCTTAAGTATTTGTAGGCACTGGGCACAGTGCCTACTGTACCTACTGTGCCGATTGGATAATATGGCCCTGATGATTTATCGTCGAGACACGAATAAGCAAATGGAAACAGGTTGCATGTAACTATAAAGACATTGCTGGCATCCTTTTAATGGCTTGCAATATTTATGACGTTTTGGAAACTGTCGTGATGAATGCAAATGTGGGCCACCGTCACAGAAGTGTGACCAGTTCCTGGAGCTGAAAGCTGTCATCTGTAAAAAAATAAATGCAAGTACAATGGACAGACATGTACAGGGGCAATCATGAAGCAATATTTTAAAAGTCTTTGCACTATACAGTAATACCTTGGATTGCGAGCATAATTCGTTCCAGAAACGTGCTCGTAATCCAAAGCACTCGTATATCAAAGCGAATTTCCCCATAAGGAAATAATGGAAACTCAGATGATTCGTTCCACAACCCCAAAAATATTCAAGTAAAAATTATTAATGCAAAATACCTTTTTATATTTTTCTTATTTAAATTTCATATAAAGTAATCAAATTTATTAATTTAATTTAATCGTGGCTGGTGTGAGGGAGACGAGAGAGAGGAGAGGAGGAGGGTTATTGTGTAGGACGACTTTCACTGTCACTAACGGAATCACTGGCATCTGTTGGCTCACTGGAATCTTTTTATTTTTGTGCGACTTTAACAAGGAACCTATCCAATGACATTTGCTTTTGCCTCCTTTTGAGGATTTCATGGGGGCATTGTTGCAGTACAGTTACTAAAGAACAGTCACTACACTTGGACAAAAATAACAAAAATGCTTTACGCACACACACGTGGTCACAACACTATACTGTAGTAAACACTATAGTACTGTAGTAAACAGTATACACGTGGTCACAACTATAGTACTGTAGTAAACAGTATACACGTGGTCACAACACTATAGTACTATAGTAAACAGTATACACGTGGTCACAACACTATAGTACTGTAGTAAACAGTACACACGTGGTCACAACACTATAGTACTGTAGTAAACAGTATACACGTGGTCACAACACTATAGTACTGTAGTAAACAGTATACACGTGATCACAACACTATAGTACTATAGTAAACAGTATACACGTGGTCACAACACTATAGTACTGTAGTAAACAGTACACACGTGGTCACAACACTATACTGTAGTAAACACTATAGTACTATAGTAAACAGTATACGCTCGCACGGATGTTGACTATACGAGTGAGGCACGCCGACTGAGACCGAGCATGGGAGACGATTACCCACAATCCCACATCGAGAGAGAGAGAAGAACCATCGGCTCAGTAGTGATCACGTGACGCTCGGCAGACAAAGCGTATACGTACACTACTCGTATTGCAAGACATCGCTCGTTTATCGAATTAATATTTATTTAAAGTTTTTGCTCGTATTGCAAAACACTCGCAGACCAAGTGACTCGCAATCCAAGGTTTTACTGTATTTACAAATTGTTCACTCGTTTTTTTCTCTCTCTCTCTCATGGCAGTCTACTGGAGAGAACTCATCAAGTTATGGAAGGATTTTCAGGAAGCTTTGAAGAGTAAGTCCTGCCCATTGCACCCTCACACCCAGCGCGACGCAAACATCAATCGTTGTCTTCCTCCTCCCTCCTGCTCACATGAGCAGTGTTGAGAATACCGGTGTCTAACACGTTACCGTGGTGGGGACGAGACTAACCATAGTACGGCATTGTTGATGCTTCACGAACCTGCATCAAGCTAACACCTGTCCCCTCCCACTTGCTCTTGTGCGCGGTACAGATTTTGTAACTTTAACTCTTAATGCGTCCATCCATAAGAGGTTTTCGTTTGGTATAGGATCATTATTATTAATACAGCGGTATAATTAGCTGTCGCCTGATGAGGCTAGTTGTAATTACCGGCGAAACGTCGTACTCGAATTGTAGATGTTGTGGGTTTACTCTTCAACACACCGGTTATTGCTGAACTAGTAACTGACACGTTTGTTTACGTGGCAAACCTTACTAATTAGCTGTGTTGGGTGGTGCTGGTGGTGGGAGTAACGACACATTTATATTCACACGATCTAACCCAGAAAACCTCTTATGTATATTGGTCGCGAAAGCCCACATATTAAACTTAATGTATCCATGCTCGCTTCCTTGTGACCCTAATGCAAGTTTGTCAAATCTTTCTTCCTCTGTCCACCGAGCGGTAGGCATGGGGACACACCATAATCAGTCGATCAGCACGTCCAATACGGTGTGGCAAAGTGTGGATATTCCTGTCTCTGGCCACCTTGGAAGAGTAGACCAAATACTCTGTAGACGGGATCTTTGTACCTCGAGTGGAGGCCCTTTAGCCAGCAGTGGCATGAGCAGGACACTTTCACCCTTACCTGGTTACACTTCCTGCTGTGTGTGGTGGTGATGTATGGGATTTGTGACTGTGTTGTTAAGCAACCAATGCGAATATAATTTAACTAACCGTTACGTTTTGTCCTTTCCTTTTTGTTTTTCAGTTTCAAAGGAACCGTCATGCCCTGTCTGTGGTAAGATTGTGTACACCTGTACATATGTTGAGGCGTAAATGACGACTCGGAGGCAGATCTTCATGTAGGGGCTTGCGCCAGTTGTTTTATTAAGGACTTTTCTTCATACATGACTCCGTGTACTGCACGCTCACTCATCGCTCCCCCAGGGGAAGGGTACTGGGGATTCCCTAGCATCCGCAGGCTACGCTAGCCTGGTGCCAATTTCCCCCTACCCTGGGTCCCAACTTCCAACTTCACACGTTCCTGGCTCCCCGCAACGACCACGAACACGTCACGGGTCCCAACCTAAATTTCCCAGGGGGACATGTCACCGTCCCGCCCCCTGTCCATGACGTCACCGTATGTGACGCCATCGTGCCGGAGGGCGAGCGTGACATGACGTCACTAACTACTACTCTACATATATGTAGGCGATTCTGTAAGACGGTATAGGTGCCGTAACTGCGTCTTCATCAGCTTATCACATGCGACAGTATGCATACGTGTGTGTGCATGTGTGCGTGTGCGTGTGTGTGTCAGGGGTGCGGTAGCTTAGCGGTTAGCGCACTGCGCTGCGAACCTGGCGACCCGAGTTCGATTCTCACTCACGGCCAACACCAGTGATGATGATCTGAACCAGTCCTGGGCCTCCCCTAGGTCGACTCCCCCTTGTGTGCCGTGCCGGCCTTCATAGGTGCTCGAACTTTGTATTTGTGTATGTGCGTGTGCGCATGTGTGCATGTGCCCGTGTGCGTGGACAATTTATGAGGCCAAAAAGGTCCGAGCGTTATTCCGGAAATGTGAGCGAGCGCTACCGACTGTCGGCTTCAGCATCACGCTCGTTCAAGCACGTCAACGACGACGTCACCATGCGCTTGATAATGGCGCTTGCCCAACATTCTAACATTGTCATGACAAATGTTTGCCTTTGAATGCAACACTTTCCCCCCGGCTTTTATCCGGAAAACCTGCACCAACTTCACATGTACAGGCTAAACCTGCTGACAATTGACCAAATACAGTTGATCCTCGATTATCCGGCAGCTTCCCACATTATCCGGCAGTCCCGGGCCGATTTGGCAAAACCCCTCCAGAGGCACCGTTTGGCGTGACAAAAAAGGTAGCTATGCTTGATTTCATTGTGAAATATCATATACGGTACATTATACACTACATACATACAACTTAAACAATGAAAATGCTTCATGTGTATACTCCAGTCTTCGAGATTAGAGTGGTAAGTACGGTACAGTAAATAGTCACTTTTTTTATTAGGATTTTTATTTTAGAGTAGGATATTTATGCAAATGTTATGTAGTAAACAAATTTAAAACGCAAAAGCACATGCACAACACCGAAAAACACAGCGTGCAAAAATAAGCAATTTTAAATAGTGATTTGATTATCCGGCGTTTTTGAAAACCCGGCGCCCCCTTCCCGCCGAAGCCACCGGATAATCGATGATCTACTGTAATATTCTAACTGAATAATATAATGAAGGATTACCTGAAAGTAAAGCCCAATTTTAACGAAGTCGTGGCGTGACGGCAGCACAGCAACGTATCGAGGAGTCAACTCGTGTTGAGCTCTTGAGTGTTCTCAACTCACGTGCAGGCACAGTCTCCAAGTGCGCTTGTTTCCTGCCAAACGGTCTTGCGTGGAATTGGCCAAACATCTAAATGTAGGGCCCTGCTCAACAACAGTTTTGTTTTTAGTCTTATCCTGAACGTAACAGACTGCTTGGAGTCATCACATGTCGCTTATTTCGACCTTAAACTCGCTCACCGTGTTCTAAATGCAATTGCTTGACACACTCGACTGGGCAAGTAAACGTTTATCATTCTTATCGTGTGGGTGTCGCGGCGGTTCGGGCAGTGCCACGAACCCCACTGCCTGAGTTTGATCGCTGGTCATGCGTAACGTCACAGGTGGGTGACATCCAAACCGATCCTGATGCCACGACCGAAACCTAATCCCCCCCACGGTCACCAACTCGCATTGAACGGTGTGACGAGTAAATGGTCAAACCACGTGACCGACATTCCTGCAGGAAATGTACGTGTCTAGTTCGTTGTCCTTCTTCCTGCACCTCCCGATTAGCACGGTTGGCTATGTACGGTGCGAAAGCAGTTCAACATGCGTACAAATTGGTTTCATATTTTTTATCTCTATTTGAGAATTAAAGCGAATAAAGTCAATCAAAAAGGTGATAAATGGAACTTCGTAGCGTTTACATTTGCCCCTACTGAAAATGCACGTGACATCTGGTTTCATCACGTGAACTTTCGTGACCCCAATATTCCCTGCAATCTGCAGACATCAACAGCCTTTTAACTCCGTCCATGTGTTTTTTTTGTCCGCAGAACCCACGTATGTATCTGCCCTGCGCTGCGAATCCTGCCAGAAAGAGAATAAGGAAGTCTGCCTGTCTTATTGTGAACGTACGTCATCCTGGAGTTATAACGTCAGGAATGCCTCACTGCGTGCAATTTATATCACTCCTAAAATATGACTCTCGTAAAATCTGTCGCGTTGTCCTTGCAATCCAAGTACGATGAATCGAAGTATTCATTTTACTCATTAACATCGATGCATCGTTCCATGCATGTGCAATGCCTTGAGATGCTCAATTTGCATAACTAGGCAGGGGTAGAGCAACAAGCAGAAACATTGTAGGAACATATTCTTGGTTCATATTCTTGGTTCTTTCGGTAAAGTCACGTTGAAGGGAAACAATAAAATAATAAAATATATAAATCAAAAATATTCTTGGTTCTTTCGGTAAAGTCACGTAGAAGGGAAACAAGAAAATAATAAAAAATATATATTATATTATTATTTTATTGTTTCCCTTCTACGTGACTTTACCGAAAGAACCAAGAATATGAATCCCTGCAGTCACGAAAGCTTCAAATCAAAATTGTAGGAACAATGAATTTCGCTCGCACTGTGGTGACGTCAGCGCAGTAACATTTAAAAAAAAAGTGTCACCATGTCATTACTAAGTCTCCATATCAAGCCGAGTAAAAAAGACAATACACTTTACAGGCACTTCGTTGTCTTCTGAATTGTTTTCCTGGTGCACTCTGGGCATTATTGTCAGGAGGCAGAGAAACCCTTCAAAAATGTCACAGCAGAGCAACCTCACGAGTGTGAGAATGGCCAAAAAAGATTTGCTCACAACTTCTGCATGGAGCCCTTCAAGCAGCGCTGTCCAGAGTGCTGCTGCCGGCTCGTATCACCCGACGCTTCTGCCTTCTTAAACATTGCTGATGTTTGTGTTTAGTTTGTTGTCCTTCCCCCCCCCGCCCGCCGCACCTCCGATTAGCACGGTGGCTACGTTACGGTGTGAAAGAAGTTCAACGTAGATACAGCCATTGCACATTGCTGCCAGGGATACGTCTAAATTCACTCTGCTAGGTTTTTACAAAAAGCAATGATGTAAAAATGTTCGAGGATTTTTTTTAAAGTCTCTAAACGTCACTAACTCACCTGCGCGTGTATGCATGTATGTGTTACAGGAAGTGGGGAGCGGTAGTGTAGCGGTTAGCGCGCTGCGCTATGAACCCGGCGACCCGAGTTCGATTCCCGCTCACGGCCAAAACCTGTGACGATTATCTGAACCGGTCCCGGGCCTCCTCTAGATCGACTCAGCCTCAAATGAGTACCTGGTGCGGTGTGTAAACATTGCCACTAGGGAGACGAAGGCGGTCGGGCGTGGTGCTGGCCACCCACCCCCTCGTGTACCGTTACCGGCCTTCATAGGTGCTCGCTAACAGCACTTGCCCCGACAGTCTGTTAAGGCTACACGGGGGACCTTTATCTTTGTCTTTGTGTTACAGGAACTATTTTGGAAAAGCAACGGCGAGCACCTTTGGAGGTTCTGGACGACGTCGATCCCGACGTCATCCCAGAGCCAGACTACGACCCTGAGTTTGAGCCCACGAAGACCAGCGTGATTGCACTGATCGTGATCGTGCCAGCCATGCTATGCTTAATCGTCTTCTGCATCGGTGAGCCTTTAGCTTGTTCCTCCAGATAGCAGAGCCGTTTTTAACAACAAGTAGAGTCCTCTGCAGATCATCGTGGGAGATGTGTGTATGTTGAATTTCTTTCACACATTTCCGTAGCCAACAGTGCTAATCGGAGGGGCGGGGTTAAGGACAACAAACTAAACACAACAACGAGCAGTTTCTTGAAGAAATTAGTTTTCAATCTCTTAAGATCTAGAGAGACACAGAGACACGTTTACAAACACTTTGAGAGACACGAAGGATACAGACAGCTATAGACACAGACAGTGTCAGACCCATACAAAGATACACGCGGAAAGATGCAGGCAGAGATTGACCCGGAGAAAAACCCACACATGCACAAATAGATAACTACAGATACTTACATGCATGTGCATTTAGTGGCTCACATTAACCCGTTTACTCCCTTGTCCCCTTTTATGTTCAGTAATGTGCTTCACACGAAATAAAAAATCAACGTCTGCCCCCGACATGGAAAAGGGATTGGACGCTGCGGAAGAGCAGAACCGACAGGAGCCCGATGTGAAGATGCCTGGGCATCCAACGAAGCCTGCCCGGGAAAATCAAACCAAAAAAGCCGGCGCACACAAAGCATCCCGCAATGGACCAAAGAAAGAAAGGCCACGCAAATGAAAGTGCGGGCAGTCCCCCGACTTACGAACGGGTTCCTTATTCCTGAGGCCTGTTCAAAAGTCAAACTGTTCGGGTTCACAAATAAAGACAGATACACACATGCGCGCACACTCACTTTCACACACACACATATGCTGGAGTTTGCAGGGATTGTGTGGTGCCACGGCCTCGAAGCCACTCTGCAAACTCCGCGGCCACACACTGAATACACACACACACAGCGCACACACGTAGTGTCCTGGCGTGGGATTGCTTGGCACAACGGGTTTTAATCCGAAGGGTTCCTATGAGGAAAGTCCCACGGTTTCCCGGTGCCAGGGGATTGGCCGACCCTCGCAGGACAAGTTACATCGCGGTGCCCCTGAGTTGGCTTAATAGTGTATGGGCGCAAAAAGATTACCGGGCCAGCCGCGATGAGTCATTCACGACATCTGGGAAGCCGGGGTGGAAAAAGCGAGAAAGGCAGTGTGTATTCGCCACTCATTCGCCACTACGAGGCCGTGTTAGGCAAGGCTTTCTCGTCCTCTTCCCTCCGCCTCTCACAGCGTCCGTGTGACGCCGCGAGTACGGCTACGAGGTACATGGTAGGACGCTTGGGTGAGCAGGAGCGCAGACGGCAGTAGGCCTAGGCTTTTCTCGCAAGATACTCCCCCCGGTAGTGCCGACTGGGCAGCTTTAAGGGATTGTGGTTTGCGCCGAGAATAAAAAGTTAGCACAGACCGTCGATGGTGTGGTGTCTGCAATTTCTGTGTGGAGCGACTGCGTGTGCAAGCCGAGTCCTCGGTGGCGGTGGGGGAACATGCGGCGAGAGTGAACGCGGGGTGGTGACCGCGGGATCGTCACCATGTCTTGCGCGAGTGAGGTAATCGCTCAGGTGTGAGCGCGCTCGCAGGTAATAGCGCGCTCTGCGGCCCCTCTAATAGTGGCAGCTGTGGTGTGCACGGGCGTGTATTTTAGCCCCGTGTGGCTCCGAGGCCAGCAGCGCGAGCATCAGGGGCCCCCGTCACTCGCTCAGCGGGGGCCTGGCGGGAGTTGACCGACGCGGTGGAGGAAGGAGCGCAACAGGCGGACGTCGTGCCCCACCTGCCCGGCGAGGGTGGCAGGGTGGACGTCAGGGTGGACGTCAGGGTGGATGTCGTGCCCCACCTGCCCAGCGAGGGTGGCAGGGTGGACGTCAGGGTGGACGTCGGGCCCCACAATCGCTACCTGTGACCCTGCTTGCCCGCTGTCTTGCTTTATGTGTTTAGATGGTAGGGTGCCATTTTTGTTCACGTAGCGAAGCACTCTGTATAGGCATCTGATAGTAAATTATTGGCATTGTTTATTTTTGTGATTCTGCTATGTTAACTCATAACATTTTTACATTGCTCTTTTTGACATTTTTTCCCTCAGTCTTAGTTTGAATTTGACATTGAATTTGTGATGTGACTACTAGCTAATTAAGTGCTAAATTACTGCACGGGACGGTTATCGACTATGTACTGGTTCCGTTCCTCAGACCCGTTCGCATCCGGAACTGTTCGTAAGTTGTAATCATGTACCTACAATATTTAAAGTACATATAGGACAGTTTTACAAAATATGTTAAAGTTCACCAAAAGGTAAGCATTGTGAAACTCAATAATAATACTGAAAAGTAAATGAAACATTAAGTCCTGACGTTGACTTGCTTGTCGGAAGGGGGACCACCTCCCAATTGCACACAGACACAGACACGCACACAAACACAGACGCACACAGACACGCACACAACGACGATCCCACGTATCCCCAAAACAGGCTGTTGTGGCAAGTGCTGCTCGCAAGCACCGCCGATGAAGGCCGGCACAGCACACGAAGGGAGTGGATGGTCAGCACCACGCCCGGCCGCCTTTGTCTCCCCCTAGTGGTGGTGTTTACGCAGCCCACCAGGTACAGGAACACCTTGCACTTTCGTCTGGTGAGGGACCAGAACATGGACGAATGTAAAAACAGAGAGCCTTTATATTTAGCTTGCACATTTATTTTGGCCGGCGAGAAACGCACATGCAAATAACGACAGTAAATATATAACACGTACGTGCGAAACCTAACTAAACAGAAATAAAAGAAACAAAAATAAACGTAAGAATAATTAAACAAAACTTAAATAAATAAACACTATCACCACGCTTGGGGCCCATTATGAATATGTTGTGTGGTGAATGACGACTCGGAGGCAGGTTTCCAGGTAAGGGCTTCCGCCGGTTTATTAACACAAGGGAGAAATTACAGCACAAGAGGTAAGTGCCCCTTACACTGGGTCCTTCATAGGGACCCCGGGCTCTATCTGCTGCTAGCCCGGCTATCTCTGGCAATTTAAATTAAAGTGATCAGTCTAACTCTGTACTACAACAAATAAATATGGCGAAACCAAAACATATTTGAAATCACCAATATAAAGCTATAAAAACAATGTAGCAGTGATCTTAGGGGCCGTCCATGAATGACGTCACACGATTTTGGGTGATTTTTGACCACCCCCCCAATTCACACGGTGTTACAAAAAGTCAGACCCCCCCCTCACATATGACGTCACAAAGCTCTGCCCCCCCCCCCCCAAACAACTAAAACATTCTTGGTTCTTTCGGTAAAGTCACGTTGAAGGAAAAAATAAAATAATCAAATATCTATAAATCAATAAAATTATCACGACGTTTCGACTGTAACACAAACAGTCATCATCAGGTGTGAAAACCAACGGCAAGAAACATTTGAAAGAAGTGGCGGTTTGTATTTATTTTTAAACGTTAGCACCATGGAGAGCGATTTGACATTTTGTTTAGAAGGACGAGTCCATCTATGTTCGGAAAAGAGGAGGGGGGAGACGAAAAATTAATGTATGCTGTCTGAAAGCCACCGTAAGCGTGAACAATCAAATAAGACCCGAAATGGTTTAGAAAATCCTTCCAATGATTGCTAAGCCAGAATCCATCTTCTCGGTTGAAATTGTCTCTGTTTTTGCATATGTTTATAGCCTCATGAACGAATCTCTCATGGTAGCCCGATGGCTTGCAAAGAACCTCTGTCTTGGAGAAGTCAATGTCATATGAGCCTACTGAATTATAACAGTGATCTGCCACGGCCGAGGTGTTGGTCCTACCGTGTTTAAGGTCTGCTTTGTGTTCACGAATGCGGTCCGAGACATGTCGATTGGTTTCTCCAATGTAACTACTACCACAGAGGCAACTTAGTTTGTAGACACCAGGGTACTGTATGTCCGGAATCACATCTTTTACAGACGGAACCAGATCACGGATTTTATGTAATGTGTTGAAACGGACCTGGATCTTGTGTTTATTCAATCGCAATCATTGAAGACGTGGTTCATCAAGGACTAAACACTGAGGTACCCCCCCTGGTGAGACACTGCTTAAGCAATACATACTTCACTTGGAATGGAACTTTCTACAAACAAACTGAGGACACCCCAATGGGCTCCCCCCTATCTCCGGTTATAGCCAACATTTTCATGGAGAAATTTGAGACTGACGCCATCCAGACTGCCACTCTGCGCCCAACCTTATGGAAGAGGTACGTGGATGGCACTTTTGTCATCTGGCCACATGGCCGGCCTGCTCCAGACCAATTCTTCGACCACATCAATTCCATACACCCAGCCATCAGATTTACCATGGAAGTCGAAAAAGATGGCAAGCTACCTTTTTTCGATGTCCTAATAAAAAAGAGACCTGATGGTTCAATGAGCCACTCTGTCTACAGGAAAGCTACCTGTACGGATGCTTATCTGAAACCGGATTCCCACCACCATCCATCACAGAAGAATTCTCTCATCAAGACTCTGTATCATAGAGCCCAATGCATATCCGACCAGGAACACATAGGCAGTGAACTCAAGCACGTACACCAAGCTCTTAAGGCTAATGGTTACTCCGACTATACAATCCGCAAAGCTATCACTCAAACCATGAAGAAGGACGTTCTTGAGGAGCCTTTCAAAACCATCACTTGACCCTACATTGCGGGGATCGCAAAAAAGATCTCCAAAATCTTGAATAAACACAAGATCCAGGTCCGTTTCAACACATTACATAAAATCCGTGATCTGGTACCGTCTGGGCTCCAATCTCAGGTACAGAGACTCCAGGATCAGGTACAGAGACTCCAGGCTCAGGTACAGAGACTCAAGACTCAGGTACAGAGACTCCAGGCTCAGGTACAGAGACTCCAGGCTCAGGTACAGAGACTCAAGACTCAGGTACAGAGACTCAAGACTCAGGAACAGGGCTCCAGGCTCAGGTACAGAGACTTCAGACTCAGGTACAGAGACTCCAGACTCAGGTACAGAGACTCAAGATTCAGGTACAGAGACTCCAGACTCAGGTACAGAGACTCAAGGCTCAGGTACAAAGACTCCAGACTCAGGTACAGAGACTCCAGACTCAGGTACAGAGACTCAAGATTCAGGTACAGAGACTCCAGACTCAGGTACAGAGACTCAAGGCTCAGGAACAGAGACTCCAGACTCAGGTACAGAGACTCCAGACTCAGGTACAGAGACTCCAGATTCAGGTACAGAGACTCCAGATTCAGGTACAGAGACTCCAGACTCAGGTACAGAGACTCCAGATTCAGGTACAGAGACTCCAGATTCAGGTACAAAGACTCCAGGCTCAGGTACAGAGACTCAAGACTCAGGTACAGAGACTCAAGACTCAGGTACAGAGACTCCAGGCTCAGGTACAGAGACTCCAGGCTCAGGTACAGAGACTCAAGACTCAGGTACAGAGACTCCAGACTCAGGTACAGAGACTCCAGATTCAGGTACAGAGACTCCAGACTCAGGTACAGAGACTCCAGACTCAGGTACAGAGACTCCAGACTCAGGTACAGAGACTCAAGATTCAGGTACAGAGACTCCAGATTCAGGTACAGAGACTCAAGATTCAGGTACAGAGACTCCAGATTCAGGTACAGAGACTCAAGATTCAGGTACAGAGACTCAAGATTCAGGTACAGGGCACAAGGCTCAGGTACAGGGCTCAAGGCTCAGGTACAGGGTTCCAGACTCAGGTACAGAGACACCAGACTCAGGTACAGAGACTCAAGACTCAGGTACAGAGACTCCAGGCATAGGTAGAGGGCTCTGTGAAGGTTGTAGAGTCTTAAATTACAAGCATACAGCTCCTTACCCCTGCGTTCACCTTGTAAGAAATGAGTGGAAGAGATACCTCCTCAGAACACCCTCATCAGTCACTCTCAAGACTGCATCTCCCTACAGAGTTTCCTGGGCTTTCCAAGTGAACAAATTCAAATATATTCACGCGCACACACGTACAAAAATACATGGACATTATTTACAAAATATACTTTGTAAAATAGTAAGGTTGAATAAATTAACAAAGTATGGACATCTCGATTTAAAGCTTTCGTGACTGCAATGATTCATCTTCTTTGGTTCTTTCGGTAAAGTCACGTAGAATGAGAATAAAATAATAAATTGATAAAATAAAATAACACAATAATATTCTCACGACGTTTCGGCCACAACACAAGCGGCCTTCATCAGGTGAAGGGGGCGAGACTGTCTGGTAGGACAGCGCTGGAGTGAGAGAGCCACGTTCAGATCACGGCTTTTAAGCTGTGTGAGAGGAACAAAGAGCCTTGACGAAGGAATTAGCATAAAATTTAGCATTGAAATGGCTGAATGATTAGCTTGTGACTGGTCACAGAAATAGCTATGTTAAAAGTTAAAGCATACACATCCGCAGAGGCACCCATTGTTAAAAGGAATTAGCATAGAATTTAGCATTGAAATAGCTAAGTTAAGGCATACACATCCGCAGAGGCACCCCTTGACAATGGGATCAGCATAGAATTTAGCATTGAAATGGCTGAGTGATTCGCTTGTAACTGCTACAGAAATAGTTACGTTGAAGTCAGAGCATACACATTCACCGAGACACTTAGTACAAATCAAACAGGAGAATTTAGCATTGAAATAACTAGGCGAATTTAGCATTGAAATAACTGGGTGATTTGCTAGTGACTGGTCACAGAAATGACTACACATCTGAGCTATTCACAGTACTATATAGTGAACCAATAAAAACTAAAATATAAATTACCTTCATGTTATCAATAAACTCTATATTCTCCAATCAGCTAAGCTACCAACCATAAGTCGTTATATATCACAATGCTATATGGCGAAAAAAAAAAATGGGTGGATTCTTACCCTCAAATTTCCGTACCACGGATAGCTACGGGCCCCGTTCAGACGGACGAGTTCGTCCATGGTCGGAACAGAGGAGGGGGGAGAGAGACAGCTGCGAAGCCCTAGTATACTCCATGTTGTAAACCATACCATTAACCGTGGTGTGAGAGGTATTAAGAGGCAATGCTGGCGAAAGAGCTGCGGTCTGAAGGTCATCGTAAAATTACAATTAATTAAGAACAGAAATGATTTAACACATCTTTCCAGTGGTTACTAAGCCTGAATCCATCTTCTCGGTTGAAATTGTCTCTGTGCTTGTATATGTGAATGGCCTCATGAACGAATCTCTCATGGTAGCCAGTTGGTTTGCAAAGAACCTCCGTCTTGGAGAAGTCAATGTCATGTGAGCCCACTGAATTGTAACAGTGATCTGCCACGGCAGAGGAGTTCGTCTTACCGTGTTTCAAGTCTGCTTTATGTTCGCGGATGCGGTCCGAGATATGTCTTTTGGTTTCTCCAATGTAGCTACTACCACAGAGGCACTTTAGTTTGTAAACGCCCGGGTACTGTATGTCTGGAAGAGCATCTTTTACAGATGGAACTAAATCACGGATTTTGTGTACTGTGTTGAATCGGACCTGGATCTTGTGTTTATTCAGGATTTTGGAGATCTTTTTAGTGACCCCTGCAATGTAGGGTAAGGTGATGGTTTTGAGTGGCTCCACAAGAGGATCCTTCTTCATGACTGGAGTGATGGCTTTGCGGATTGTGTAGTCGGAGTAGCCATTAGCCCTGAGAGCCTGGTGTACGTGCTTGAGTTCACTGGTAATGTGTTCCTGGTCGGAAATGCATTGGGCACTATGGTATAGAGTCTTGATGAGGCAGTTCTTCTGGGATGGATGGTGGTGGGAATCCGGTTTCAAGTAAGCATCTGTATGGGTAGCTTTCCTGTAGACAGAGTGGCTCATTGAACCATCATGTCTCCTTTTAATTAAGACATCCAGAAAGGGTAGTTTGCCATCTTTTTCGACCTCCATGGTAAATCTGATGGCTGGGTGTATGGAATTGATGTGGTCGCGGAATTGGTCTAGAGCAGGCTGGCCATGTGGCCAGATGACAAAGGTGTCATCAACGTACCTCTTCCATAAGGTCGGGCGTAGAGTGGCAGTCTGGATGGCGTCAGTTTCAAATTTTTCCATGAATACGTTGGCTACAACCGGAGATAGGGGGGAGCCCATTGGGGTGCCCTCAGTTTGTTTGTAGAAAGTTCCATTCCAGGTGAAGTATGTGTTGGTTAAGCAATGTCTCACCAGGGGGGGTACATCAGTATGCAGTCCTTGATGAACCAGGTCTTCAATGATAGCGATGGTGTCAGGTACCGGGACTTTGGTGAACAAGGACACCACATCAAAACTGACAAGCAGGTCGTTTGGGGACAGGGAAATGTCTTTGATTGTCGATACCAGGTGAGTAGAATTTAGTACCGCAGAGGTGGTTTTTCCAGTGAAAGGTCGCAGTATATCAGCCAGAAAACGTGCCAGTTTGTAGGTGGGGGAGCTGATAGTAGAGACGATGGGACGAAGGGGTGTATCTTCTTTGTGTATCTTTGGAAGGCCATATAATCTTGGTGGTCTGGCAGCAGAGGGTTTCAACAAGAACTGTTTGTTCTCATCAATTAATGCTGTTGAATCAGAGATAATTTTGTTCGTTTTTGTGACCAGGCTGTTGGTGGGATCTCTTTTTATTTTTGTATAGCTGCCATCGTTGAGTAGTTCTTGAATTTTTTGTTATATTCTGTTTTGTCCATGATGACAGTGGCATTGCCTTTGTCGGCTGAGAGAACGACAATATCATCCCTCTTTTTTAATTGAGATAATTCAAAACGTTCGTCTTTGCTGATGTTGCTAGGTGGCAACTTAGCGTTTTTGAGGGTTGCAGCTATTTCAGATCTTGCTACGTCTGCAGAGATGTGACTCAAGCCCTTGAGTGCAACGTCGACATGGGCAATGATATCATTAACCGGTAAGTGTCTCGGTGTGACAGCAAAGTTTAGACCTTTAGCTAAAACGGATTTCAGACCATCAGAAATGGAACTGTTACTGCGATTAATTACGACTTTGTTGACGTCTATCTTTTCGGTGTGTGGATCCGATTTTTTGCTGGAGAGGTGATTGAATTTGGAAATCAAATTGTCCCTACATTTGTTCGACATAGTGGCAGCCGAAGAGGTAGTCATATTGTCTACATGTTCCCAATCCGATGTAGACATTGTTGCTGTCAATTTTAAGTGTGATTTGTAGAGTGTCTTGTCTAACTGATCGAGTTCGGTGCGTGTAAGTCTGATTTTTTCTGAGATAAGAGCGAAGCTAGTTCTAGCTAGAATTCGTTTTGCATTGAGAGAAGTTGCAACAGCAGAGGTTAGTGTAAATGCGGTTGGTATTACCTTAGAGTCGCGGCATCTCTTCAGAAAGGTGAGAGACTCGATTAGTTGAGCCTTCTTATCCCGAAGTCTGTTGAATGATCTTAAGGATGTGTGGAATCCCTCCCCGTAGAGGCGGTTAAATTTCGATTTAAAGCTTTCGTGACTGCAATGATTCATCTTCTTTGGTTCTTTCGGTAAAGTCACGTAGAATGAGAATAAAATAATAAATTGATAAAATAAAATAACACAATAATATTCTCACGACGTTTCGGCCACAACACAAGCGGCCTTCATCAGGTGAAGGGGGCGAGACTGTCTGGTAGGACAGCGCTGGAGTGAGAGAGCCACGTTCAGATCACGGCTTTTAAGCTGTGTGAGAGGAACAAAGAGCCTTGACGAAGGAATTAGCATAAAATTTAGCATTGAAATGGCTGAATGATTAGCTTGTGACTGGTCACAGAAATAGCTATGTTAAAAGTTAAAGCATACACATCCGCAGAGGCACCCATTGTTAAAAGGAATTAGCATAGAATTTAGCATTGAAATAGCTAAGTTAAGGCATACACATCCGCAGAGGCACCCCTTGACAATGGGATCAGCATAGAATTTAGCATTGAAATGGCTGAGTGATTCGCTTGTAACTGCTACAGAAATAGTTACGTTGAAGTCAGAGCATACACATTCACCGAGGCACTTAGTACAAATCAAACAGGAGAATTTAGCATTGAAATAACTAGGCGAATTTAGCATTGAAATAACTGGGTGATTTGCTAGTGACTGGTCACAGAAATGACTACACATCTGAGCTATTCACAGTACTATATAGTGAACCAATAAAAACTAAAATATAAATTACCTTCATGTTATCAATAAACTCTATATTCTCCAATCAGCTAAGCTACCAACCATAAGTCGTTATATATCACAATGCTATATGGCGAAAAAAAAAATGGGTGGATTCTTACCCTCAAATTTCCGTACCACGGATAGCTACGGGCCCCGTTCAGACGGACGAGTTCGTCCATGGTCGGAACAGAGGAGGGGGGAGAGAGACAGCTGCGAAGCCCTAGTATACTCCATGTTGTAAACCATACCATTAACCGTGGTGTGAGAGGTATTAAGAGGCAATGCTGGCGAAAGAGCTGCGGTCTGAAGGTCATCGTAAAATTACAATTAATTAAGAACAGAAATGATTTAACACATCTTTCCAGTGGTTACTAAGCCTGAATCCATCTTCTCGGTTGAAATTGTCTCTGTGCTTGTATATGTGAATGGCCTCATGAACGAATCTCTCCCTTTGTGCCAAGATAATCCAGCTTGGCGATGTGATGAACACAGTTGTGAAAAATGTCAAAAAAATAATGGCCCGAGGGCTTTACCACAGAGAATTGCAAGCGTTCCTCTCTGATGTCGATGCTGAATACGGGGACCTACTCTACCATTCTCAAGTGCGCTGGCTCAGTCGCGGCTCCGTGCTGCAGCGGTTTTATTCCCTGAGATCAAATGTCGACAAGTTTTTGAAAGAAAAGGGCAGACCTCTCCATGAGATCAGTGACCCTTTATGGTTGGCAGGCCTGGCTTTTTTAGTTGATCTCACTGATCATCTCAACACCCCGAACAAGAGACTACAAGGCAAAGAGCAGCTGGTACCACAGCTGTATGTGCACATGAAAGCATTCCGTGCGAAGCTCC